ATGCATGACTCAAAGAATGATCATCGGGCTTATTGAAATTTGGGCGCTGTCTCAAAAAAAATACTCAAAACGAAAGGTATAAACATGAGTAATCCGTCGACTCAATAAGCCGGTGATTCAAAGTAGTTGTTAAGTTTTGTCTGCTCCAGTGAATACGCTGGCGAGGAGACATTACCGAAACAAAGATGGATAACAACTTTCTGTATGGGCATTTTTATAGCCCACGATATCGATCGTTTTATAGTGTTCTTCCAGGAAATAGTTTTATCAACAAATATGTTTTGCTGAATTGGTCACAATTTGATTACATATTCCCGCTCGTTGTGAGTCTATACCAAAATTGCGTGAGATAGAATTTTCATGAGAAGAAAAGGAAATGATTTCATATTTATTCATATATTTAAATGACCCGTGATCACAATTCACTGTACGCATGCCAGCACTTGTTGCATTCGATTCGCATTTATCCTCCACCAAGGTCCTTCAAATATTTCCATAACAACTAAGTTGCTGTTTAGGACTCCTTTCTTCTTTGCAAATGTTTTGGAATGCTGGTCGAGACGATTCCACATAAAATCTTGAGAAAAGTCGAGCTAATTCAAATCAGCGCCTTCTTTATCACCTTCCTTCCTAATATACCGTATCATTAACTACTACGTAACTCCACCTCCGAATTACATATAGAATCTCTATAAAGTCGTGCATCAATGTTGAAATGCCACTGTGAAATACGGAAGAAAGGGAACCCGGAGATTGCCGACTAGAGTAATCGTCAATCACATATCATTACGAAGCATAAATTCTTGTATATCCAATAGCGTATAGTGAAAGAGTGATGGGAGAACAGGAATGTCAGCACTGCAACTGGTTAACACGCTGCCGCAGAAAAGGTGAAATGAGGATTGGATTTCCGTCTGACGTTCATAGTTTTGCATATCATTCAACATTCTAGGATATAAATTTGTAATATCGTACTACCGCTAAAGGCGGCTAAACACGAACAATTATAGTTAATTGTATATAAACTCTTAGTAAGGGCACGAGGATCACATCAAAATTTGGAAAGAATGGTGACGTCTTATTCAACTCAAAATCCTCATTTTAGTGATAGTTTACAATGTTGAGAACAGTTTAGCAACTATTTGCTCAAAAGTCATCTCTTAAATATATCTAGGAGAAATAACTGGTAAGTTAAAATTCTTCCTCAGATGGGAGTAGAACCCGCTTTCCACTCATACCGTAGGCCCGCGCTACCACTACAACACACAGGTCACCGCATATTCACCACTCGTTCTTCAAGATCTTTCTATCATGGCTGTCGGCCACCAACCATTAACAAGTTTGGTCGAGTAAGCAGTATCGCTCTATAATCCCACTTAAACTGATAGCCATTGTACTTATATCCATCCAAGATTTATAGTGTTTTTAGTGCTTCTTCGCAGTGCTACTAAGTTGGAAAAAAGTTACCACCGTTTGATAAAACACTTCCAAATTTATGCATGTATCCTGATAACAAGCAACAACAACTTTCTTCAAAATACAGGCCATCATTACCCACCACTTTTTGCCATCGGTCCGCTAGTTTTCTGATCTGTTCAAAGTACTACTCCTTCGAGTTTGAATCAAGGAACTCTTGCCACGCTTCTTCAACTTCATCGAAAGATTCAAACTAGACCTTCCAAAGAGTGCTGCATTGATCGGAAAAGGCCGTAATCAGATAAAGCAACGTCTGTACTATAATGTGGATGCGGTAGAATCTCAACTCCGTCCAATTCATCAAACTCTGCTTTGGTCTTTGGCTGTGTGTGGTCTTGCGTTATCTTGCTGAAACAAAGCGCGCTCTCGACGAACAAGTTGTGGCAATCTCGGCCAACTTGTCGTATGTTTTATTCTCCTAGACAATTGCATTCTGCAGCAGATATAGACAAATTATAAATCGATAGATGCGCAAGAAGTAGACCTTTCAAGTGGCATGAAAACCACACACGATTCATGCGAAAAAAACGACACTCTCGTCCAAACGATGGAAATATTTTTTCCAACCTAATATGATGTCTCACGTATACCTAAGAGAATTGACTAGTATACGAAAATTCGAGCTCATGCGGGAGTTGAACCTGCGTTTCATCCATACCCGGAGCGCGTACCACCACTACGCCGCCGAGGCCATTTTTTTCACCACTCATCTTTTTTAGGTATTTCTGAAGCATCATAAGACTACGAAAAGCACTAAAATAAGAGAGACCTTCGATTCATATGAATACAATGGCTGTCAGCTTAACGGAGCTTGTAGAGCGATATTGCTTGCCCGACTAGACCTGTTGAAGGTTGCCTTGTGATAGCTACGATAGAGAGATTTTGAAGAATGACTGATGAGTAAGCTGAGGCTTCTGTGGTGTAGTGGTAGCACGCACCACCGGTATTGGTGAGACGCTGGTTCAACACGCCTGAGGTCAAACTTTTGCTCACCACTCATTTCTCTTAAGTACATTTGAAGCGTCATAACACTGGGAAAAACAGTAAAACACAGGAGACCCTAGATTCGAGACTTTTTTATGGTTGTCAATTATTTATGAGAGGTGAGAGTAATCCACGGACCTCCCTCTTTGAGAGATCCCGCCTGGTCAATCGCGAGGGCAAGTGGCGCGTCCCCAGGTGGTGGATAGGGGAATAAAACGCGAACCAAAAGCGACAGTGTGCTTCCCAGAGACGCAGGTGGATTGAGGGGATGAGCTCCCTGCTTCTGCAGCGGCGACTTGACAAGAACTCTAATTCTACGAGTCAGGTCGGCCAAAAGCCTGCAATCAAGCGGCTGGGAAGTACATGGGAGGCGGTTAGGAGTCGCCTCCAACAAATAAGCTCCTCCGCACCTCCGAGAGAGACTGGCAAGCTACTCGAGAGTACCCAGGCCCACGTTTAGAGCCTGGCAAGCTATACGTTGGGTATCGAAATGCCAAAAACAGCAACAAATATGGGCCTCATTCCCCTGACCCCGAAAGAGCCACTGGTACGGCAGCGCCAGGTAGGACGAGTACAGAGAGGCTGCTCAAATCTCAGGGCCGAACTAGGCTGCCAAGATCGAAACGGACTAAAATGACGATCTGTACCTACAACGCAAGAACCCTTGTTCACGAATCCTCTGTAGAAGATCTATTGATTCAAGCAAGAAGAATAAGGTACGACGTCATTGGCCTGGCTGAGACGAGAAGGCGCCATCCTTTTCACGCTGTTTATGACACCGGAGAAGAACTGTTCCTTGGATACATGCGATCGCAGAGGTGTCGGCGGCATTGGCGTCCTGGTCAAATCGAATTTGACCGTGAGCATTGATTCGTTTGAACAACTAACAACCCGTATCGGACGATTACGGTTGAAACGATGTGGTTCTATGCCGGCTTTGACCATCTTCGTTGCTTACGCACCAACATCAAGCTATGACGAAGACGAAGTCAAAGCGTTCTATATGGACCTCGAAAAATTCTTCAGAGAAGATCATACATTCTTCAAGGTCATTGTCGGAGATTTTAACGCAAAAATTGGACCTAGAAGAACGTCTGAAGAACGTCACATAGGGACCCAGGACTAGAATGGAATGAACAGGGTGAGAGGCTATCTGAGTTTATCATGACGACCCAAACCATCCATGGTAACTCGCAATTCCAAAAGCCTCTTTCTCAGCGATGGACGTGGGAGTCTCCCAATGGAGAGTACCATAACAAAGTAGATCACATCATAGTAAATTGAAGGTTTTGCCTGACCGACGTCGCTGTTGTTCCTAAGTTCTACACGGAATCAGACCATCGCATTCTTCGCGCAACATTCCGATTTTCGAGGAGAGGAGAGAAAGCCGCTAAATCCAAACAACGAAGTCCCAGAACTACCATAAACTGGGATGTATTCAAATCATTAGTCTGCTCTTGGGAAGATACCGTTGTCGACAACATCGACGAAGAATACGATCGACTCGTTGAATATCTTCACGTTAGCGCTATAAAAGCCGAGAGTCCTAAGGTCACGAAGAAACGCTTGTCTCCGCAGACACTCGAGCTGATACGTCAACGTGGAATCGCACGAGCTGCAGGCAACCGAAGCCTTACGTCCGAACTTGCGAAACGCTGCAGAGAAGCGATAAAAGAAGACCTTAAAGAGAAGAGCAGCAGTTATGGCAGAAGCTGCAGAAGCTGGGAAGAGCATTCGCAAAGCCCAGCGAGGCTTCGCCAACTATAAGACCAAGATGATTGCACTTCGATACCCTAACGGGACACTTACACCTTCGAGAAGGGCTATGGAGAAAATCATCCACCAATACTACTTGGATCTCTTCGATAGCCATGTCTTCTTACCGTCATATAAATTGAAAGAGGACGAATATGTTGTTCCACCGGTCCTCCCTTCCGAAATCCGGCATGCTATACCGTCGGTGAAGAACAGAACAACACCCGGTCCAGACAGGATTAGACCAGAACACCTGAAGAACGTGCCGCCAGTTCTCATCAACACCCTGGCTCGGCTGTTCACTCGCTACCTGTCAGAATGCAAGGTCCCTATTCAATGGAAAACCAGCAAGACCGTATTGTTGTTCAAAAAGGGAGACCTTCACAACATAAGCAATTATCGCCCAATTTGCTTACTATCCGTTGTCTATAAAGTCTTTACTGGAGTCATCCTAAACAGGATTGACAGAACACTGGACGAAGGACAGCCTTGCGAGCAAGCAGGGTTCCGGAAAGGATTTAGTACCGTGGACCACATCCACACGATTACAAGACTCATTGAAGTTTCACGAGAGTACAAACAACCACTCTGTCTCGATTTCATCGATCTGAAGAAAGCCTTTGGTTCAGTGGAAACAGAAGCGGTTATAGAGGCTCTGGATAAGCACGGCGTCCTGTTATGTCTATCACATTATTATTGTTGTTGAGATAGGTCTATTCAAACATCTGAGAGTTAAGGCATGATTCATGTAAGCATTTCAACGTTCATCCAGCCGGAATGAACTTGAGGTAAGGACTTATTTTCAAATGATTTCTTCATCTAGGTTAGCACAGAAATACTAGTTCTCGTTATAGCTCTCCTTCCCGAATTATTTCACCATTACACTCTAATGGCCATCCATTGAGTGGGATTACTGTATACACCCCTGAATACGGATCCTTGATACAAACTATTGGGCTGTACCATAATTTTTTCGCCTTTCGACACTTTTGTCTGTGAAATTCTTATTCATTTGAAAACAATATACAATCAGTAATATAATATTGATCATTACTACTGATATGCAATCATTTGTTGCACAAAGACTGAGCGACTTCCTAACAGAAAATATGAGGCTAAAGGTCAATGACGTCTGTGAGGTTACTTTTGAGTGTATTGCACTTTTTAGATTTTTCCTTCCGCAGATGTTACATCAGAATACAGAAAAGATATGGTTTGATGACGAAATATCGGACTAGCGATGGACTTGGTAGCTTTGTCTAGCCCAAGTTTCCCAAAATGTGGCGAGCCGACTTGGAGCCTTGAGGTCGAGTGTTATTCTGAAAGAAGGTGACACTGAGTCGTTCAACTGCTTCCGTCAACTTGCGTAGCTGTTCCCCGTAGATGTCGGTATTCATTATACGCTGGTTCCAGGGCGGTTCTTGAGGCAGTATGCTCTATTATTCCTAGGGAATCTAGAGCACAACCTTTAACCAACATGAAATAGGAGTCTTGCTTGAGCTGGCGGATTATATCTCTCTTTGTCCCCAACCCTTCGAAAACTCTGAAACTTAGAAACGTAAAGCTCAGTCTTTGGCCTCTAAAACTATTAGAATAATCCCCATCGCTGCCACAACCTTTTGGCAAGAAACTGATTAAAATAAGAAAAAGATTGAATAAGGCATTAGTGTGGAAATGGTAGTAATGCATTTCAATATATTTTCCTAATAAATAGCAGAAGATGCTTTTTCCACACAATCGAACTTTAAATGCGGATTCCGACATTTCTTGCAATCGATTCGTCTGTTCACATTCACTTTCCATCAAAATCTTTAGATTTTTTATGTGTAATTTTAATTGCTACTCGAAGCGTATTCGTCGCCTTCGAAGATGACACTGAATGCTGCTGCGGTCAAGCTGAGTCTTCTTGAGCGCTACAGATCAATTTTCTGGAGCCTTTCCAAGTTCATATGAATGAGCGCATTGAGCCTAAACAAGTCTGGCACCAAGTGCATAGGAAAGGGATCTAGTGAGCCGAGGATGGGTTCCACCGTGCTCGTGATGATTGTGCATCACTACCATACGCTATCTGTTAGAGCATTAGGAGATTTCATCAGCAATTCATAGCTCTAAAAATGTTCATCCCAGCTGGTGCAGTAAGTTGACTCAGTGGCTCAGAAAAACATTCAATAGTTCGTGTTTGCATATCGTACACGACGACTTTTCCATTGGCTGTCTTCCCATCGTTGACATATGTGTTCAAATTCATAGATCGGTTTAAATGTGACTTATCTATCGCCTCTTCTTTTTGCTGGCATTAATTGGCACTTGAACGCAGTTTTTGAAAATCAAAATGATTACATTAGAGACTATCAAATCTTCAGCGCGAGCATTCATAGCCGTTGAGATCACCTCCCTTCTGTTACTCCTGTAGTGCCGCTGAACGTTGCCTGATTTTAGTGAGTGCCGGATAACTTCCATTCAGCCTATCACGTGCAAGAATAGCCCTGTGTGTCCATCTTGCTTGGTCATCAAATCGGTGGCCCTTGCATGGTTCGCTTGACATAGCGCCAAATCCGGCTTTTGTCTATCAGCTATCCAACATTACGCGTCCGGTCATTCTTATTTTCAACAGCCTGACATATAAAACAGCACCGGTTTTTGATCGTTGAACTAGGTAAAATCTTTATATCCTTTCTTTCATTTACGAGACACGAAATACTAGTTGCACCTTCTGAGCGCGCTTAGAATAAAGCTAAGTGATCTTTCTTACTGCTTGCGTAACAAACACAATTGTGAAGAGCACGTCGAAGGCAGTGATAAGCACTAAGTCGAAGAGATGGGCATGCAGATGAATGCTCTTTGCTCTGCGCTTCCCCCTGCACAGCTCTGCAGCTAGGCCGTTCATCATAATGCTATCCTGAGTTGGATAAATCTAACGCTTTGGGTACTATTCATTCCGTTAAACGTGATTCGGATATTCAAAACCAATCCGCTCGTTGAGAACTTTGTTTTTGTCGGACTAAGTTGAAAACTACTCTTTCTACCGAATCGGTCAACATTCTTCTCACCTAAGTGACACTTCATCTTAGAAGAACGAAGTCATCGGCGAGCAAGAATACACACAAAGATAGCGTAAATGTTGACCGTCAATTCTCACTCCCATATTGAGCAACTCAAATGTTCTCATGACGTGATGAAGTTTGGCAATGAACGATTTTTTCGAGATGGTACCACCGAGTGAAACCCCTTTCCTGAAGTC